ATAAAAGTAAATGATAGACCAAGAGGCACATCTATAATTTTAATAATGTTTTATTTCCGATGTGTTTTAAATATAATTTTATTTATATAGATATATATTGCGAAAAACTCCAATCTTGTGAAATGCCTGATGTTTTTAAATAAATGTTCAAGCTCCACATTCGTTCGGCGAGAATCACCTTTGATTGCTTWGCAAATCACTTGACTAATTGCAAATGAATTGAAATTCCGATTAATGSGCGTAATYAAAACAAAYTAAAAGGTTAAGCATTTCCATTCAATTTTATAATTGTTCTCGTATTTAACAAGTGTATATTGATCGAAATTAAAATAGATTACTACAAATGTAGCATTTGATCGATGTGATCCAATTGCCAATGGAGCCGGACACCCACCTCCGCGATATGGAGCAGCGTTTAATAAAATTTGATTCATTCTCGGATTCAGTTTGATTGTTATTGTCCCAAATGCAGCTCGAGAGCGTAAGAGAAACTGACACAACGGATAAAATGCGAATGTGAGCTCCTTGGAGAGGAGTTTTATCAATGGCAGCCATATCGTTGATCGTCCCTAATACGCAAATCGTAGGTCCGGATGGTAGCCGAGCTTGTCTAATGCTGGATTGCAGGCAAAGTTAATCATGGGCGGCGGGCCGCAGAGCAGCACGATCGTGTCGTCATTGGCGGGCAGCAGATGAGCGGCGATCATCTCATCATTGACGAAGCCAACACTATAAGTCCAGCCTGGTGTGAGATAAAGAAATGAGAATTCGGGATTAGCGAGGGAACTCAATGAGCGCCTTAGTTCGACCAGGTAAACCTACACAAGCRCACAGATAMAACATTTCCCTTGATTTGTGTTATTTKTTAACTGAAAAGCTCAAAWTATACRGATGCTAAGCTTCGTTACTTAATAGCTAAAACGTTGCTCGGAACGATGTCCCAGGCGTTCAAGGCCCGGTATACAGGTATAGTTGACCATGGGCGGCGGACCGCACAGCAGGCACAATGTATCTGGGCTGGGCGGATGCAGATGCTCGCCCATCATCTCGTCGTTGACATGGCCCGTATTGTACAACCAGGCTATGAAGCGTGCGTTCGCCGGGCGGGGCATCCGTTTATGGGCAGCATGTGGCGAGGAGCAAACACAAGATTCTCAACATAATAGATGGCTTATATGGGCATTAGGCACTACAGCGATTGATTGCACTACACTGATTCAGACTGAGTGATTTATGGGAATGAGCTCGAGTTGATGTG